GTGGGGCCTGAACTCTGGGCCTGGGCACTGTCCCTCAGCTCTTCAGCTCAAGGCTAGCGCTCTACCACTTGAGCCACAGCGCCGCTTCCGGCTTTTTTTTCTGTTTGCTTATGTGGTGCTGAGGAATCGAACCCAGGGCCTTGAGCATGCAAGGCAAGCGCTCTACCACTGAGCCACCTTCCCAGCCCATACTGTGTGGTTTTTAAAAAGACCAGGAAAGTGAGTTTCCTTCCCCCCATTCCCTAAGTACTAGGGATCCAGTATGCTTCCCTTTTTGCTTACAATTAACATTTTACTTTTTATCCTGTTGATCTCTGTGTCCCTCTTTGGTTCCTGGTAGGTGCTATAACCACCATAAGATAGACATCTTGGGAGGCTCACTGGATCCAGCAGGCATTTTAGCCCTGAGATTAAGGTTATTATCTTTTAAAGTGCCCTTAGAATTCTAGGCTTGATTACTGTAGCTATGTAAGGTAAGGCTGACAGGCACACTTTGGTCTCACCTCCTGTATTAGTACTGATAATTAGTGAGGTTCCACTATTTACTGCCAAACCAGCTTTGCCTTTAGCCTTTGGAGCTGTCATTTTTTCAGGAGCATGAGGAAGCCACAACTTATTATTAAGAAATAATATAAAAGCTAAGTGCCTATTGATCATACCTGTAATCCTAGCTACTCAGGGGGCTGAGATCTGAAGATTGAAGAGTCAACCCTAGGCAGGAAAGTCTGTGAGGCTCTTATCTCTAATTATCCACCAAAAAAAAGTGAGACAGCTTTGGTAGAGCACTAACCATGAGCAAAAAAGCTAAGGACAATGACTAGACTTTGAGTTCAAGCTGCAGGACTAGAACACAAACAATAACAAGAAATAATAACAGATTAACAGAACAGTTTTAAGAATGGTGCATAATATTTTTACATACTCTTCTTCAGACACCTTGCTAGTTAGCATTTTGCCATATATTCTTACACATGTGTGTGTGTATATGTGTGTGTGCCTTTAAGCTCATTATTGTTGTCCTGGACTATTTGACCTAAAAATGTAGGTATAGTAGCCCTTTACCCCTAAATACTTAACTCCCTATTTTCTAAAACAAAGACATTCCCTCTACAGTTATCAAAATCAGAAAATCAACTTTAATATAGTGCTATTATTGAATCTATAGTTCTTATTCAGTTTGTACCAATGGTCCATAATAAAGTTTGTTTTCTTTGTTTTTGAGATAGGGTCTCATTTCCAGTCTCACCTCAAACTCATGATCCTCCTGCCTCTATCTCCAAAATGTATGCTATACACACTCAGGTCTACTTATGATCCTTATAAAGAAAATGATTTTTTTCTGCTGTAGAATCTAATCAAACAGTGTGTTTAGATGATTGACATGTTTTTTTTTCCTTTTTATTTCCCCTATGAGATGGGGATTGAACTTCAGGCTTTGCTCACATAGGGCAAGAACTGCACCACTGAACTAAATCCCCAATCCTTTTTATCCATTTTTATTTTTAAGATGCTGGGATCAAACTTAAGGCTTTGTACATGTAGGCAAACACTACACTACTATCCTCACTTGTCCCCAGCCCTAGATGTCATATCTCTTTAGTGCCTTTTAATGTGGAATGTTTTCTTACTCTTTGTCTTTCATAGACTTTGACATTTTTGAAGTGTTCAAGCCATTTATTTTGTAAAAAAAAAAAAATCCTACAATTTGGGTTTATGTGCTGTTTTCTTATGATTCAAGTTAAGCAGTTTTGGCAGGAATTCTGGTGCCATGTTGGCACTGTGTTGAAGGAGCACTAAAAGAATGGGCTAAAGGCCAGAGCAGAGATTTCAATCAGTGTTCAGGTGAAGCAGAAAGAGTCATCTCCAGGGCAAACCCAGTGCACTGGTTCTCTCTTTGTCCTACTTTTCAGAATCCTCTTAGGTGCTGGCATTTGTCCTCGCTTCTGGGCCCAGCTTTCCTGTGGACTTGGTCTCCCTTCCCTAAGAGCTTGCTGCCGTCCCAGCATCACAGGCATCACTCGGGGACCACAGCAGACATAGGCCCAGTTCTCACCCTTTGCCTCTGCAGCTCAGCTGTCCTCTCCTGAGGGCCAGGATGACCAAGATGACATCAAGGTGTCTTCCTTCGTCCCAGACCTGAAAGAACTGCTTCCCAGTGTGAAAGTCTGGTCAGACTGGATGCTCGGCTACCCAGACACCTGGAATCCTCCCCCCACTTCTCTGGATCTACCCTCACAGTGAGTTTTCCTGCCCATTCCTTTTGTACTGCCAGCCTTGACTCACCCATGTTCCCCTAGCTCCCCTCCTTGTCTTATCCTTGCTTTCTCCTACCCACAGCCCACACATTTCCCTGTTCCCTTCTTATTTGAATTTTGATTTTGTCCTTCCATGAACACCTTCTGATGTTTTAAATTATTTTGGTCTGTTCTCCAGTCCTGGTCCTGTGGCTCCTCCTTTCTGTTGCTCCATAGTTTGTTCTGTTTTGTTATTTTGTTCTTTGTCCTTGTTCTTGCACTCTCATCCTCACTTTATATTGTTCATACTCACTGTTCCTTCAACTGCCTCTAGAGTTTTGGATATGTGTTGATGCATGTGGGAGAGACTTTGTTTCTTCTCTTTTTCTCCTTTTTCATTTTTCTGTAACTTCTACTGGTACTGTCTTCTGCATTCAGTTTCCTTAGCTCCTTTCATGGCTTTTAGTGTTGGAGAGCATGAGTATGTGCATATCTTTCTTCATTCTCTCTTTCTTCATGCATTCCCTATTTTCTCACCTAGTCTCCATCTCTTTTTCCAAGTGTCAGTATGGTATCTCTGAAGACATCTGTTGGGGTACAGTATGGTATGTTGAGTTGAAAGTATGTGGGCCTACCTGTCTGGATAGTTTGTGTAGATCTGTTTGTATGTCTGTATGGGTATTTTTCCCTTTTTCAAATGGTGGTAAAACATCCAGAAAAATTTGCCATCTTAATCATTTTTATATTTACAGTTCAGTGGCATAAATTACATTCACAGTATTGTGCAATCAGGTATGGCTGTTTCTTTGTTCATGTCTGGATTTTGTCTGACCCTGACTGGAACTTTATGTCTACGTGTGTCCAAAAGTCTGTGTATCTTAGTGTCTATCTTTGCCATGTGTGAAGATCTGGTGTTTCTGTCTCCATATGGTTGTTTCTCTAGGAGTCTTTTCAGGATGCCTGCTCATGACTGCACTGTGTATATATGTCCATGTGTATCTATCTGTAGCCATGTATGTTGTATTTATATATGTTTGTGTGATATGTCCTGATGAGGGCCTATGACAGTTTGTGCTTGTGTACTCTGTGTGTTCTTGGGTCTGTGTTTGTCTCTATAGAATTCATATGTCATCAGGGTTCTATTTGAATGCCCGGATCTGTATCAGTCTTTGCTGTAGTCCTATCCATGTCTCTATGTGACTCTCCTTTGAGATTGTGCTTTTGTATATGTTCACAAAAGTCTGTGTTTGTGTCCATGTTTTTCCAAAACCATGTCTGTATGTGTCTGATTGCCTCTTTGTGCTAGTCTGGATCTCTGTTGAAGAAGGATTCTGTGTATGTGGCTTTGACTGTGATTGCCTGCCTATCCCAACTTGTCTCTGCCTGCTTCTATTGTCTCTCTCTGCTGGGTATGTATGTAATTATATCAGGAGTCAGCATACTATGAACCACAAGCTAAGAATGGTATACATTTTTAAAGGGCTGGAAAAAAATCAAAAGAATACTATTTCATGACTCGTGAAAATTATATGAAAGTCAGATTTGTTTTATGGGAACACAGACATGCTTATTTGTTTACACTTGGTCTGTGGCTGCTTTCACACTACAGTGCTGGGGTTGAATGGTTGCCACAGAGACTGTGCAGCCCACAATGCCTAAAACTGAATCCAACCCATTACAGAGGAAGCTCACCGACTTGTGATATCTGTAGTTTCCCTCTGTGTTTTCTTGTTTGTATAGTAGTGTCTGCTGTATGTATGTGTAGGCTCCATAACTTAGTTCTACTGATGGCTGCCTTTTTCCTTCTGCACTCTCTTTCTCCATTCCCTCCCTCTTTTCCTTCCTGTCCCTGTCCCTGTCACTCATTCCCCAACTCCTTTTTATCTTTGCCTTTCAGTATTACTGCCTTTCTCTCTGTCAGCCATCACTTCTTTCTTTCTCCCTCTCCTTCCCCAAACCTATTCTCTGCATTATAGTCTTTCTGGAGGCAAGACAGCTTCAGGTTCTATATGTGTGATTACATGTGTTTCACCACAAGCATCCATATCCAGTACCTCATCATTCATGTGTAGGGCTCTTGTGTAGGAGGGAGAAAATACTAGAGACTAGAATATGGAGACCTTGGCTGCTGCTGGAGAGGAGAGAGAGGAAGTTTCTGTGGGATAGTCTCCATGTGTATGTATCTCTAGACTCAGGTAACCCATAGAGGGAAGGCTGCAGCAAAGACTTCTGGGTAGCAGTTATTGTGTTTTCTGTGTGTGCTGTGTAGTATAGTCAAACTTCCTCTATTCCTCCCAAAGTTTTTTCTTATTCCTCACCCCAAAAGCTACCTCTAAACTATTCATCTCACTTCTCTAATCCTTCCCCACTCTAGCTCTATAACCATGTAAATGATGCTCACAGCATCACTTCGCATCTTTCCTATGGGCTCTCCTAGGTTTCCAAATTGTGCTCCAGCCTGAGGCTTCATGAGCCCCAAGGCAAGCCCTCAGTTGGGCAGCTGGGGTCACATAAATATACTAATGGATCTGCTAGTTATGGGCCTTTCTTTCATAGCAGGTGATCCCCAAAGAGATACCAAGTACAGTGTCAAACTTTTAGGCTATTACTCTGTAATGTGTACTGGGAAACTAATATTTTTTTTTTTTTTTGCCGGTTGTGGGGCCTGAACTCTGGGCCTGGGCGCTGTCCCTCAGCTCTTCAGCTCAAGGCTAGCACTCTACCACTTGAGCCACAGCCCACTTCTGGCTTTTTTTCTGCTTATGTGGTGCTGAGGAATCGAACCCAGGGCCTCAGGCATGCAAGGCAAGCACTCTACCACTGAGCCACCTTCCCAGCCCGGAAACTAATAATTTTGGAAAGAAAAAAAAAAAAACAGGGAAAATCTCAGCTTTTCAAATATCTAAGCCAGTGCTTCTGAGCATGTGCATGGGCTACTGAATAGTACCTCTTTCTCTTAGGGATAGAGAAAGAGACCAACTTTCCTTAGAGCTTGGGTCTTCCTCCTGGGTCACCTTACCTCACAACCACAGTTCTCTTAGATATGATCCATCCATATCCTGAGCAATCAGGTCTGCTTGCTGTCTTCTGCAGCATTCATTCTTTCATCCCCTTTCTCCCCCACTCCCTTTGGCCTTCGTTTGGCTGCAGACATGGAAAGCTCACATAGTAAGTTCTGGGCCTCATTTGCTTAAGGTATTGAATCTTGTTTTCTCTTTGGATGCTGCAGCAAATAGCCTGTTGCTGGTTCTGTGAGCTGCTGCCCATTTGTGAACAAAGGCTCAACCTGGAGCTGGGCACGTGGTCCAAGCTGCAGCTTTCCCCAGAGGGGCTAGAGAGAGTTGGGACATGTGAAACATACTTGCTTCAACTCTTCAGAGTTCACTTTACAGAGAGAACAAATCTGACCCAACAAGATGTTGAATGTGATTGTAAGTTCTGTGGCTATTGATCCACTTACTCTGTTGTGAATCTAGTCTGAGCAAGAAGAGTCAGTATGATCAGGAATTAGGTCCTCTTCTGCACTGTCTTCAGTCAGGCTATCTCTAGAATGCTAATTTAAGCATAATTTAAGCCAATACCCCCTTATCCATAAATGGTTGCTTAAAGACTGGTACCTCTGTGCAGCAGAGTAAATCTCATCTGACTAGCACTGAGACTAGTTTTTCCTCACCTTGTAATCTTCAGATCTGAGAACTAGAAAGCGTAAGAATTTTCTTTTCTCTCTCCCTTCCTTCCTTTCTTTCTTCCTTCCTTCCTTCCTTCCTTTCTTTCTTTCTTTCTTTCTTTCTCTCTCTTCCTTCCTTTCTTTCTTTCTTTCTTTCTCTCTCTTCCTTCCTTCCTTTCTTCCTTTCTTTCTTTCTTTCTTTCTTTCTTTCTTTCTTTCTTTCTTTCTTTCTTTCTCTCTTTCTCTCTCTCTCTCTCTTTCTTTCTGTCTTTCTCTCTTTCTCCCTCCCTATCTCCCTCGCTTCCTCCTTCCTTTCTTTTTTTTGGGGGGGGGGGTCTTTTGTGTGGCTTGAACTCAGGGCCTGGGCACTTGTCATTGAGCTTTTTCCTCTCCAGGCTAGTGCTATTTTTACTTTAAGTCACAGCACCAGTTCCAGTTTTCTTGTGGTTAATTGGAGATAAGAGTCTCTTGGTCTTTTTTGCCCTAGCTGGATTTGAACCATGATCCTCAGATTTCAGTCTCCTGAGTAGCTAGGATTACAGGCATGAGCCACTGGTGCCCAGCCTCTATTTTCTTATATAACTAGTGTGTCCTATATACTCCAAGTCAAAACCATGATTGAGAAATGGGCAAAGTGTGATGGTTCTGTGGGTTTCAAGCTTGTATCTTGTACCCACTGATCTACTGTGGAGCTTTTTAAACCATAGAGAGTGACACACCCCAAACGATTCTGTAGATATGAGAATTGTAACTCCCAGACACTGGGAAGGTCCTTGTTGCTGATCTTCTTTTTGGAGGGTTTAGGGATGCTCTCAAGAGAGTAGGAAAGAAATGGCTTCTATTTACTCCCTCTCCTTGGCATGCTTTCTTTGGTCCTTGCCTGCATTTGTTCTCTGCAAAGACAAAAATTCCTCTGATCCTAAGATAAGGTGACCAGATAGTCTATATTTCCGCTTGCTTTTCCTCCAGAAACTACTCCCAAATGGTCCCTCTGGCATGTTGGACCCTTACTTCATTTTGCTCCCCTTTCATTCCTTCCCCATCCTTCATTTGTTTCTCTCTCTCCTTGTATGGTTACAGAATTATTGCAGCATCTACCACTCTCCTCGGGGAATTCCAAAGTCCAGTATTAGTCTTCTTAGTTCTCTCCTCTTTGCCTATGTTCTTCTTCTCTCTAGTCAGACCTATTTTCCCTAGGCAATAGCAGACACATATGGAACCCTTAAGATGATTAGTGACCAAATACCAATGGCACTGTGATAAGGGGAGGATTTCAGGCTCCCTCGTTTCTTCCCTTAGAGTGGCATTTTAGGTCTGTGTGGTATATAGCTGGCAT